CTCTCCTAATTATAAATGCGCGCCATTTCTGTGTGTATACTGGCATAGGGAAAAATTGTGGCGATATGCTGCGGCCAAAGTAAAACTTTTAGATTGGATCTTACTCTGCACATCTCTAGAGGGCATGCCCCTCCCCATTTTGAAAATTGTTTCGGATTTTACCATGCGCTTCTCTCGCGGTCATGCCCATGTCTATATTTTTTATTTATTTACATACGTACATTAGATTCTATAGTAAGGAGTGACTTTTCACTGTATTCAATTTTAATATATACCTTATTCAATATACGATATATTCGTTTATACTCGTATAGCATGAATTTAATTCATACTTTCAACATGAAAATATTGATTTTGGCGCACACAGGGAATGCATGACAACTGCTTCATATATCCCTGAGCTACACTACATTATAGGAAAAGCGGGCGATTTCCCCCTCTCTCTTGTACAATTTATTTAAATATCTATATATCTTAATACATCTATTCTCTCGATACATTTAAATAGACATCATTATTAATTAAATGCCCTTGTGTACGTCACGTGTCCTCTATTGTTTACACGTGTTTAGCAGTTAGATAAGAAAATCTTGGTTACATACATATCAGAAGTAGATAATAGGGAATTTCTCTATTAACTACTTCTGATACATATCAAAGCAGTACACGATAAATAACAATCGGACATTCATTGATCCAAAATAAGATATTTATATTTGCCTGTGTAGATAAAACAGATACACAAATGATAGCATTTTACTGTGTCATCAGTACAATCCTCTATCTATAGCACCATTGTGAATTTAATATCAGTCTGGATCAGAATGCACCATTCAACATCAAATTTCTTTAAAAAAAATCCTAATCATTGCAGGTTAGAAAAACCTACCTTTACAATTACCTAGATTCCAACCCATTACCTACATTTACAAATTACCTAGATTCCAACCCATGGACTATCTGACTTAAAAGAACCATATATTTCACTCTGTTCCAAAATAGAGTTGACTAATGTTATTTTATACAATCACAGGTTTGATCAGGTGAACGTTTATATACATATTTTACAAAATTCTGCATTTCTTTTCTAAATCCCATGAAAACTCAAATTCATAGATATCACGATTTTATCAAAATAACATAAAAGTCCACTTTTTATTGCCACCAGCAGTAGCAGTAGCAGCATCAAACATAACAACAGGCCTGCTAGAATTTCAGTATAAAAATCTGGACCTCTGGTTCATAACCTCTACTAGTATAATCCTACTTCCGCTAGTATCCAGCCAGCCAGAACACCAGCTACGGCAACAGCCAGTGAGACTGTACGCACAGATGACGAGCCAGTTTTCTTCAATGCACCCAAATGTACTAGTGCCGTCTTGGCTCTGGGAATATCCAGTGGTTTCCCCACCTGTAAAAAAATCCCATTAATTTTTAGATGAACTTGGCCAATATTGGTCCACCAGGTTGGATCCCATGTGTTTCACACAAGCACTCACACAAGCATGCATGCACGCAAGAACTCGTGCTTGCAGCGCACACATGCATAAAAAATAAACTCAGGTAAATAAAACATTTAAACAAAGGTAAATCAGAACCTCAAAAATGATTACTTAAGGTAAATATAAATATGAACCCTTCTATTACTATTGACTAATAATTCAAAGTTCAGCAGTGATTAATTAAACAAAATTAAATGCATGTATTTAATATTATAAGCAATTAACGATATCACATAGAGTAATGAACCCACCTCTAACGTTAGATTTTTCTCTGTCTCATACACATACAAGCTGAACCCCTGACCACCAGATTCCAGCATACTGACACTGACAACGTCTTTAGTTATGGTGAAGGTAAAGCTTCCTTGCTTATAGTCCAAGTGCGTTAGCACCAGTCTGTGAAGAATATGAACAATGTGTCACACCAACAATTTGCTATTGCTCAATGAACTGGTCAATGACTATGTTTAAAATATTATTAAAGTAATATGAAGAACATTTCCGGGACTCGATGGCGGCACACAGTCACATACATAATTGTACTGCAGCTCCTACAGATAAACAATAAAACAGGAATTCTAAATTACTACTAAGTTTTTTTTTATACACTAACACATCTGCTAAATGATTTAGTGTTGTTACTTAGTGGTTCCAGGTGGCAGTACTGGTTCAAAGTCGAGCTTGTCACTCCTGATCCTGAAGCCCTCCCATCAGACCACCAAAGATGACCCCGTGCATGTAGAATCCTCACAACTGTCACAGTAACTGGAGTTTAGCCAGACCAGCCATTCAAAGGGGGTTGATTATGACCCTAACTGCCAATTTATATCTATATCATAACATATCGTAACAAGAGTTGGGATTCGAATTAATATAGAGAAGATGAAGATAAGTAAGGAAGAGAAAGGTAAGAAAGATAATAGAGAGTGAAAGACCAAAAATATAGAGAGAGTAAAAAATGAGAGGATAAGTCGAAGACGAGAGGAGCAGAACTCAAGATGGAGGAGCTGAGATTGAAGAGGGAGAGAGATACGAGCGAGGGAGAGGAAGAGAGAGAGCGGAGAGAGACCCAGATAAGAAACACAGAACAAAAAAAAGAACGAAAAGAAGAAAGAGACACAGAGACGCGACACACACCGACGCATGAAGAACGAGAGACGGGTGGTGAGGAGGTGGTGGAAAACCAAAACAATGAAAGAAAAGAGAGACGAGAAAATGAGAATTACGACCAGAACGAGAGAGACAGAGAGAGAAGAGTAGAGAGAGCTGAGCAGAGAGAAGAGCGAAAAGAAGAGAGATGAGATGAGAAGAGCGAGAGAGAGGAGAAGAGAGAGAGCAGAGAGAGCGAGGCGTAGAAAAAAAAAAGAAAGAAAACGAAGCAAACACAAGAAAAATAAAAAGAACAAAAAAACAACAAAAAAAGAAAAAGACGAAAAAAGCGATCCCGCAGACTCGTTCCAACGCCAGAGATAGGGAGGAAAGAGCGAGAGACAGAGCAGACTGCGAAGAGATGGAGCGAGGAGACACAGGACCAGGCACCAAGAGAGCGACGAGATGCGAGGATGCAGAAGCCAGAGAGCGAGACGGTGGAGAGATGAGGATGAGCTGAGAGACGCAGAGAGGAGAGAGAGAGAGAAAGAGAGAGAGAGAGTAAAGAGAGAGAGAGAGAGAAGAGAGAGAGAGAGAGAGAGAGAGAGAGACGTAGAGAGAGAGATGCACATACCTTGAACGGTTCTACGGTGTATTGCTGATTCTTGAGAAATAACTCTTCAGCCTTCTTATAATCTCTCAGCTCCAGCCAGGCAATGGCAAACATGCCCCATGTCATTGCTGGCCCTTTCGTGCTTGTAACCTGCGTTTACATTCCCAATGACAATATGAACGAGACCAGAGTAGACATGTAATATACCTATAGTAAAGCTTTAACAAATATCTATAGAGTACAACACGTACACTATATAAACTACACTAAGACAGGTTAACAAACCCTGATACAGACTAGTGAACAACAGTTATGAAGCTAGTAAAAAGCCATGTAAACTTATTAAACAACCATCACATGACCGGTAAACAATTGGCCCGAAGCTAGCAAACAATCATGCAGTGCTAGTAAATATAACCACCATCCAGTTGTTAAACAGCTACCATGAATGTGCTTAGTAACTTTCATGAAGCTGCAAAACAAGCAACATAAGGTTCATAAACGGCATTCGATGAAGGTGGCGGGTAAATTGATTGTGTGTGCCCATTCTGTGGATTGTTTAAGATGCACAGATACGTACACATACATGTACGTATCCATATGATATTGGTTTCTGCTCTGTTTATGTACCACATACCTCTTCGTATATGACGAGGTCATTGCGTCTCACCACTTCATCAGACTCTTGCATCAGTGGAAATCCTAGTAGCACAACGTCTGCCTGCTTCACCATAAAGTCTGAAATTCGAAAACAGTAGAGCTCATTCCCTCACCATTACGATGTTGACACGGCTGGAGAAATTTTTGCCGTAAATTCACTCATAACTCTATAGTCAGGCTGGTTGCCAATAGATGTCTACACCTGTGCACCAACCTGGTCTTGTGTCGTCAGTATTGTTGTCGTCATAATAAGGGTCGTAGCCGTCGTGCTGTGGATGGTAGTTCATCTTTGCATCAAAGGGCACGTACATGTGGTCAGCAATGTCTATCCACTTCTGTTTCAGGCGCGGTGAGTCTGGGAAGGCATCCGAGGGAAGTCGCAGGCTGATCTGTGCGATGGTGTTCGTGTAGCAGGAGTTGTTGACCGGGTAATGCCATTCATCCGGCCCCATCACGTCTGCCAAAAGCAAGAACCTCCGCCCTTCAATATCCACGTGCTAATATCAATCTAGTCGTATAGTACAATATGCATCCATGAAATCCTAGGTCGTGTTATATGCTGTCACTGTAGGTTGATCTAATAGCATTGTACTAAATGAATTCAGATGGTTCATGTTATAGGGGTAGACAATCACTGCAACAACAATGCAGCAAGTATATAATATTTACATTTGCTCACTTCGCGAGCAGTAGTGTTATGGTGTTGAGTGAAATAAAATGAAAGTGCTTGCCATGTATCTCATATTGCTCTCGTTCTTTGTTGTAAAGCGCACGACTCTCCCAGAAATTTGCGATTGCCATGATGAGATCCTCTGCAGAATTGATGAACGTTTTGTCTGCGTTCATGTGCATGTACTGCCAGAAGGCAAACGCTATGTCACCAGTCACATGCTGCTCTAGGGCAACTGCTGGATACCAGGGGCATACATCCACACCTAGAAGCATAGTGAATGTCATGAGACAGATACTAAGATAACACTATACATTACACGTAACCTCACGTTGGGGTTACAGGTTTTAAATCATCACCTTCATGGTTACAAATAAATAATATTATCTCCTATTGGTAGTTTTCATAATGAATGGAATGGTACTAGATCTGGAAATACTGTGTTAACGTGCAACATTACAGGTAAAATCAACTAATTCTATTTAGAAATGAATTTTACTTTCTACTCTGGAACTGTAATGTATTGTCATATACCTGTATATGCACTTTCCCAGGGAAACATGGCTCCACTATAACTATAGTTCTGCGCTTTATTCAGTGCTTCTTGCAGATGTTCCAGCCTTATCTTCAGCTGTAGTCTGCTCATCTGTGGCTGCATCATCAATATAGGTGGATACATCCATGTCTCCTGGTCCCAGAATATGTGACCCTGATAGTCCTGTCACATCAATAAACTTATAAATAAATAAATAAATAAATATTAGCACTTACAGCAAGAACATTTGCTGTGCATAACTAAGCATTAGTTACTATGATATGCTGAACAGAAAAGGTTGTTGTTATTATTAAGCTGAATCAATCGCTACCTCTCACATATATCTAAACATTCATCGCAAAATATTTATTATTAATTAGTAGTAAAATTAACAGTAACGAAAAGCGAACATCAAATAAAAGGGCGTGTTGATAAACTGTGGCAAGTCTCAATATTTTCACACAGACGAGCCGTGAATGCTGACCAGGTTCTCACTGTTGCTCATACGCTCCACCTCCGATCGCGCTATCTGGCAGCCATTGACACAGTGAGCCGGGGCTGAGGCCGCTCAGACAAGACACTTCTGCGGACCTCGCGGCACGTCGGGCAGTGAGCTGTAGCAGGTAGTAGAAAGGCATACCGTAGATGACTGTGCCGAGTGTGTCAACCTCTACGTCCTACTGCGGCCCGGCACGTGTCCCATATGCTCTCACGCCCAGCCGGCCACGTGGCTGTCATATCAATCACGATCCGTGTCCGTCCGTCAATGTCCCACTACGCTACAGCCTACCACTGAAAAAAATGGGGGGAAATCATACCAACACGTCCACGGTGTCGTCGCAATGTCCCCTACCGTACGCCATCCGCTGAACAACAGAGGGGAAATCCATTACCAACACGTTCGTGCTCGTGTCGCCATTGTCCCTCTACTACGTAATGCCTCCGCTGAATACACAGCGGAGAAAATCAATAACAACAACGTCCTGTCGTCCGGCACTTCCCTGTACGTATGCCTTATCCCGAAACACAGGAGAAATTCATACAACACCAGTCGGTTCCGTCGCCATGCTCCGCTCTACGTACGCGCGGCTACCCGCTGAATTACACAGGAGGAATATCCATACAACATGTCCGGTGTCCTCCGCAGTCCCATCTACGTATGCTCCACGAACATACAGGGATAAATCATACAAGCACGCTCCGGGTCGTCACACGTCCCCTACGTATGCATCCGCATGAAACACCGGGGGGAAATCCAATACACCACGTCCTGGTGTCGTCGCATGCTTCCCTTCATTAACCGTGTGCCTCCGCTGAAACAGCAGGGGGCAACCGTACAAGACAGACTAATATGTTAATGCTGACAACCATTTCATAGTGAAGTCAAACCTGCGTTAGTGGTCACCTCTATAAAACGGCTACCTGCGTATAAAGGACACATTTGGTGTTATCGTTGAGTGGCAGTTATACAGTGAAACCTCTATCGTATGGATACCCGTCTATATAGGACAAGTTTTGGGGGTTTCCCTTGAATGACCCTTATATACAAGTTTGATTTTAGATGTCCCACCATCAGACGGCATCAATAACTAAAAACGAAAATCAAAAAAGCGCTATTGCAATTTGAGTATATTGCCGAGAGTATCAAACATAGTCAACTCCATGCATTCCGCTTTCGTCTATTGTATCTCAGCCGTGATCCACGTCCAGCTGTTATGCCCCTGCTGCAGTTCTAGCCGCTCCGGGACTTCATCATAGACAAGATAGACGTCAGTGAGGTTTGAAGGTGTGACATCTTTTTCGGAACTAAGGCTCACCTCTGCTACTCTTGTTCTTAAATGTTGTTTCCTGACCACTGCCGATGAACTGAGGATATCGAGAACACGATAAGGTAAACGTAAAATTAAGGATCCGCCTCGCTGCGTAGTGTTTGGTAGAGTCTTAATAACTGAAAGCTTACTCAGACGTCAATTTATGATTATTAAGTCAGAGATCGTTTATCACTGGTGTCCACCTTAGCTAAGCGTGCTCACCCAAATTGACTCCTCAATTAAAAGTAGATAGAATTCCTAATAAGATATCTGCATTACTATAGAATTAAACTTACCCTTCTATAACATCCTTGATGATGTCAAAGTCCTCTGAGAGATTACCGTGGTTGTTGTTTGTTAATAGCACAAGACCTACAAGGAGTGAATGCAAGAAGCCTGATGCACTGAAATATTTTGGCAAACGATAATAACACTGAATAAGAGATCACGTAACTTCTCATATTCTCATGAACTACAAGTAAAGTTCTAATACCAACCAGGTTTCTTTGCCTCTGCAGATACTTGGCATACTAGCAGTTTTGTATGCTTCCTGTGAGCAAATATTCTGTATTCCAGCTTGAAATCTTCATGGTCGACTGTCTCGGTGAATACTCCTACAACAAAATAATACTCGAGATAACGTCGGTGATTTGGAGTATAGTACATTACGATACAAATTCCAATTCACAAAACTGCAGCAATTTTATTAAAATGTGTAAAAATCCATAGTATTTTACAAGGTGTTTACATATGTGTGATCACATATAATCTGAATCACTCAACAAAGTCTCATAAGTTGCATCTTAACTTTCATTCTATCTATGGATTTTTAAGAATTGAGTTAGCACATTGATGGTATGATTCTTACAAGTTACATGACAGCAATTCATGCCTTAGGTAAAGATGACTTATAAAATTTGCCCTTCTATCACTAAAATGTATGAGAATGACTTAATTCATGCAACAGAAAAAAATAGAAGAGCAATGAGCTCCATGAAAAAAGAGGATGGCTTCAAAAGACAGACAATACAGATGATGGATAACTATGTTGAACTATAAAAGAGCGAGACAAGAGTGAACCCCTTGATCACGCGCGCACCTTTCCCCACGTCGAGAGCGTAGCTCGATGAAGCCGCCGCGTGTCCGTCGACGGCGAGGCGTAGAGCGCAGGTGGAGGGCACGCGGGCGCGGTGGCTGTCACCACGCGCGCCGTTGTACACGCCGTTCACGTAGATGTTGTCTGCGTACACGACGTGTCCGAGAAAACCGTTGCCCACCGTCGCCATGTGCCGAGGCAGATCGTCGGGCAAGCTGCGAGATGATACTTATATAGTATTTTATGTATTGTTATATTATACCATGGTTCATACAGGACAACTGAAATTTTTTTCAAAGACGTTTCAAAGACTTTTCAAGGACATTTTATCGGAAATTCAAGGACATTTTATCAGACATTCAAGGACATTTTATCGGAAATTCAAGGACATTTTATCAGACATTTTATCGGAATTCATACACAGAACAAAACATACCTGGATTAATTTAATAACCCCATTCTTAATCACTGCATGTCACCTCTAAAACGTACCTGGATCACATTAATAAACCCTTCTAAACACTGTCACTTCTATACAATATACCTTGATTTACTGACTGATTTTAGTGACTTACTGTAATTTGTGATCATCATTTAACTGTCTATCGTGTCTATAGCTTTTTAAGCTCATTTAACGCAATTTTTATTGAGGTTTGCACATTATTGATGGTACAAAATTTCTTTTTATTACAGGCAAGGATTCTTTCTAAAAATTTAAGGACATTTCCATAAAATTAAAGGACATTTTCATGAAATTCAAGGACTTTTCAAGCACAAAATCAACATTTACTAAATACAAGTACATTTTCATGAAATTCAAGGACTTTTCAAGCACAAAATCAACATTTACTAAATACAAGTACTTTTCAAGGACTCCCCTCAAATTCAAGGACTTTTCAAGGACTGTGCGAACCATGTATACACACTGAAGTTACTTGTTTTTTCAATAGAAAATAAATACTAAAGAATGCATATGTGCACATATCGTGGCACTTCTACAGTCTGTCTGTATGTGACTCGAATATAAATGCAGACAATTTTGCATGTTGACATACGTATGGAGATGTGAGCCCCAGTCGGGAATATACCTTGACGTTTTAAACACAGTTGGATCTTCATCTTGCTTCTCGTGGATTGTTTGAAAATATTGGTGAAATTTTTTGATGTGATGACCGCCAGCACCATCCCAGCATAAAATAGTTGGGAGCAGCTCCAGTACAAGAATGCAAAGGACAGTAGCGGTGAACGCTGTCAACAACGGTCTTGCCATTATTCTGGCGAAGATGGTGGAACAGACACTGTCTCTGTAAGTATAGTAACACACGCTTATCTTTAACATGGATTTTCCGGAGGGAGGACCTTTGCACAATCAACATTTACACAGAGATATATATATATATAATATAAACTAATATTATTATTAGTAGATAAATAAATCATATTTGATGACTGAATTTCGCTATTCCTATTTTATCTTGTATACGAGAGTACAAATATTACTAAATCACCTTGTCAAAAATATTTTAATTCTGACTAAAACTGCATGCATGAAACAGTTACAAATGGGTAAGGGCCGGGGTATGTGTAATTTATGTGCACTAGAATGAGTTATAATTGCATGCTCATTTAGTTATTCATATGCATTCACTTTAATGACAACCAAAATTTATGAAGAGTGCAACTGTACTTTTTAAGTTGGTACAAGGATATACCTACCTTGATAAGATAATGTCGTCATTGTCTTCCCCATTTGTGGGCCACTGCTGCGAGTATACACCAGTCGGACCTTTCCAAGTCACGAGCATGGCCATGAGGAAGACTAGCGACGCAAGCATGATCTTTGTTATTAGCTCCAAGAAACGGTCTTTGCTAGGGTTAGGGGACCCTTGTGTATATTGACGTAAGTCACACAGCCTGGTTGGGTTAGATCGTTGTGTGACCTGTTCTTCAGGATGGCTTCTTTTATATCTCTTCTACTAGTACTGGCTAATAAGTAGTTAAAAAGTAGAAAATGTAGATCGATGCTCATGTGTATACATACAAGTTCAGTAACATACAAGTACAAGTTGTGTAACATACAAGTACAACATACAAGATACAAGTTGTGTAACATACAAGTACAACATACAACATACAAGTTGTGTAACATACAAGTTCAGAGATCAATAGACGTAATTGAAGAAGACAACCTACATAGAAGTTACATAACAAATATTATAAAAATCATAATAGTAACAAAAGTTATAATAGTCTTGACTCTTATCGACTTATCTAACCATAACAACATGTCAACAATCACACACTCACACTGACACGTCACACAGTACGATGCTCAGCCTCATGTATGATCATGTGCACTTGAAGTTGAAGTTCAAGTCCAGTAAGTATTTTTATTTTTAGTAAATGTACTAATGTAGGATTATGTACTATGAAATATACAACATCATGAACTAGCGCCTGATAAAATACGCACTAGGGTAATTTTCAGATGCGGTTACTATGTTCTGTTCTATCTTCTGTTCTGTTCTAATCTCATTCTCACTGAAACACTTCTAAAACTTCTCACTCGCAGCACGAGTAACAAGAGAACGTCCCAATCTTTGGTCACAACAAAACAGCTGCCTGCTGAACATGCCTGCTGTTGTTATGCGTGCATCAGCGTGCAGTGTCAGTGCGCAGCTGTGCACAGCGAAGCATGGTGATTAGTAAGTGTAGACCAGCTCTTACTGCGATTTATTCTTACTGTTACTGTTAGTTGGTGATTGTCACCCTTCCTTATCTAGCCCGTGAGCAGTCAAACGGTCGTTGAGGTGTGCTTCTGGATAACTTTTCAGGTGGTCGATGGATGAGGAACCGAAGTAACTATCATGCCGTCTCTGGGAACAAAGTTCCTTCGGTTCTTTCGAACATTGTCGCATTCCACCGGTGATGATGGCGATGTAGACATCCCCAAGGAACCGGGACGAGTGTCTCCGAGAAAAGGGAAAAAATCTTTCGACGATGACAGAAAAACCACGACGTCCCCGCTGGCACCAGTTGTCTGGAAGTACCTCGCAGGAGGGTAAGAAATTTTCGGGTTACGCGCTTCGTTTACAAGTAGGCCTAGAGCAAACGATGATAAGCACGTACATGCGCGAACTAGCATTTAACGAGGTCGCATCTCTAATTAGCGTAAATGAGGCATTAGGAAAAGGAATTCTCTACTATTTAGTAACTATAGAGCTTGTATACTATTACTCTGTAGATAATAATACCGGGAAGTGGTATTTATGTGTTTATATCGACTGTGTATTACAGTGTATTATTTACATGCAGTCGCTTCCGTTGACTCCTTTTCTCACATGTACCCATGCTGTATAACTATATAATGTGAACATGAACGTGAGTAAAAAGTTAAAAACAACAGTTCTTATACTAGATGAGTCCTATAACAAAATCTGCCATATAAATAACTACATTCCCGGCCTGGTGGGCAAACATTCGATATTTGGTCCTTGATCTATGGATGGGCAACTGCATTGAACCCAATAAATTGTGCTCGAGACTTTCTTACAATCCGACACTAATATAAGAATGCTAGCATGTTAGAAGAGTGGCAGTTTGTAAAAACACCATTGTGCAAGATTTATTGGTCGCCCTGCACCAGACTACAGGCACTATCTGCACCCGCCACACTGTATCGTTATACTCTGTACTAATAGTAATTACCGTGTGTGTGTGTGGCTTACAACTCGTGTCATTTTCAAGAGTGTACGTGTGTCCTCTGTGCAATTATCAATTACGTGCATGCGGGTTTCTTAAAGAGGGGACAGAATAGGCTAAATGAAAGTAAATATTCATGACTTGTCTGGGGACGAGAACGTCTGTGTGCCAAACGGTGTGCGTACATTGGTTAGTAATTGCCCAAACCAGTCTGGGTGCTCCGGAGGGACAATTCGAACGGAGGGTGTAGCTTTGATGTGCATTCAAGGATCGACACGCTTGGCTGTGCAGGCATTTCCACGCTGACCATCGCTCTGTATGTAGTGGCAGTCGATTCATGTTTATCGTTTACACGCTTGCCTAATGTATCGTCAATGGCATGTAGCCGAGGTGCAACCCTATTACTTCGTGTTCTGATATTGTTAGCACCATCGCCGCTACTGTGAGGTATCATTATGCTATCTCTCTGAAGGGCAAAATATCCTAGTTTTCTATGGTATTTATTTCACTGTCGCGGCGAGGCGTGGCATGTTACCTCGTACCATAATAATATCGTAGTTCATCGCTGACAGACAAATTGCCATCGACCCCATTAGTGAGGCCTTCACTGTATCGTAGAGTCGTTACTGTAGACTACAATACTATACCTGTTAGTAGCACCTAACTGTATTACGTTAGTCGTGGTATAGCTGATCTCGGTAAATTCTCGTCAAAAAAGTAATGTGAAGCAGAGACAAATCAGACTAATAGGTCAGATGGCCAAAGCCAACATGTATGTATAACTATAAGAACCGCATCTTTGCAAAAGCTTTTGGACCACACTGGGAAGCAAATAAATGATCAGTAATTAGTGTTTATCAAAAAACATTTCAGTTTAGCACTTGGCAATATACTGTAATTATATGTCCCTTGGACATCTGTTATTAGATAATCGCACAGAGTGGTTGCCTGCCTCACTCTGACACTAATGACCGTGATGATGTCACAAACTTTCTTCGGCAGCCTCGAAACCGACTGTCAGATTCAACATTATTGCATTTACGAAGGAATATGGGAATACAAGCCCACCGCAAATCAGATCTGTCCAGTAGACAAGGGTGTATCGTCAGTGTTTATCTCGTGCGGTAGTCAAGTCTGTTGCCTAAACTGTCGGTAGTGATTTATGTGATGAGGTAGCAGTTGTCGAGGATTGTATGCGGAGATGATTCGGAGCAGGGTTGCTCAGTTCTGCAGTGTAAAATCAATAGCAATATTCTTAACTGCGCCCTGGTTTTTGCACGTTTCCAGCTCGCCAGCTGTTGTGTTTTTCAGTGTCATATACTTATATTGATATATTCTCTTGCATATTGCTGCGGGTGTATGGTGAGACCTGGTGTATGGTGAGACCTGGTTAAATGGAATGGAATTAATATGATCTAGGTCCCTGCTCCAATAGATAGAATATAGGCATTCGTGGCTGTTCTTGGCTCTATATAGAAAGCTGCCTTCCTCAATCGGCGTTCTCTACACTTCCTGTTTTGATTTTAACACGGTAATCTGTCTGACATAACTACGATTATCGTTATCCTTGTTTCAGACTTCTATTGTCGCCGAATTTTTTGTACGTTTGATTTTCCCTCGAATAATTTTGGCATCCTAATTTCTCGTCAATGTATCTGTGGAACCAGTTAGGAGTCTTTTGCGGAGAAAATCGCCCCCTTTATCCGTCAACGATAATCAACGTTGAGCGGGTTTCTTTGTTAGTGCCATATGCTAGCTACGTTTTAAATCTTTTTTCGTTTTGTCATACTACATGTCTGTCGGCGGTGTCGAGTCGACTTGGTGCTGCGTAGCGATTGGTGAGATTTCTCGAACGTTCGTGCGTGATTCGGTGAACGTCATGGGTGTGCGTCTCCTCTGAGGTACACGAAAAAGGGGAAGTTCGGCCGATGAAAGCCGAAGTCCGCAAAAACTTTCCCCACTCATTCTCGAACTCACGTGTAGAGATAATGAGTCGTGTAACGGTCTCATGTTGAAGTACGTATATCTAACGTACAGTAGGTAAAGAATCAGCTCTGACGGTAGGGGCTCTGATTAGGTAATTGGTTTGATGGCAGGCTGAAGGACTAGTGGAATTGAATCGTCGGATGCCCATTTTATGCGTCACCGCTGTGATGCTGCATTGTATTTGATGGTTGTGACCTTCACGCAGGGCCGTAGTGGCCGCCACGGCAGCACGGCACTGCCGTGGCACTATTTTGACGACAAAAAAATTGTGCAGGGAACCAAGGAGCAACATATACCAAGGAGATGAAACCCCGGGGGGCACTCACTCCACATTATGGTCAGGAGTCTATCAATATTGATAGACTCCTGTATATATATATTGATAGACTCCTGTTATGGTAGGTATGTGCCACCGCGAAGTCAAAAATGGTGGGCTCTGGAACTAACTCAGACCTGAAAGGGGTGGTCTCTGGAACTAATGTTTGTTGAATGTGGTATGCTCTGGAACCGGCTATGTTCGAAAATGGGGGTCTCCGGAACTAGGATTTCGTTGAAATTCAATGCTATGAAACTGGACACGTTTAAAAGAGGGGGTCTCCGGAACCGTGGGGGGAACAGTGATTTGCTGCTCCTGATTTGCTCCTGCTTCCTGATGTGCTTTCCTGATGTGCCTTCCTGCTTCCTGAGTGATTTGCTCCTGATTTGCTGAATCTATGCTGTAGCACTTGAACCAATAATTGTTGTATTATGTAGAGGAGAGAAAAACATGACCCGAAGAGAGATGAACGCACGCACACGCACACGCACACCCGCGCGCGCGCGCACACACACACACACACACACACACACACACACACACACACGCACACACGCGCGCGCAACGCACGCACACACAAACACACACAACACACACACGTTGCATGCATGCCTTCACGGCCCGGCTTCAACGTATTCTGAAGTACGATGCACTGGAACGGAAATATTAAAAACTATATTATTTTTCATAATTATGTATATACTGATAGTATATACAATTTTGTAAACAATGTTTTATTAGTTATCATACTCATAATATATATTT